CTCGCTGCGGTTGCAACCTTGGTTTCATTATTGGAGTTATCCCCGCGGTGTCCGTGTGCGTCTGTCGCCACCGCCTGTGTGCTGACTGCGGGCACGTGCTCCCTATTCTGGTGCGCGACTTCGCTGGCGCCACCTCTTGCACCCGTCTGGCCCTGGGTCACGGCTTGTTTCCCCGAGCTTCCCACGGTCGTTTTCGTGGTGCCCCCGCGCCATTTTGGCCGCGCTGCAGCTTCACTGCTCTTCGCACTTGTGCGTGCTGCTGCTGTTGGACCCTTTCGGCCGCGGCCACCCTGGTACCTCGCAGCTCGCCGATGCTCACGCCCATTCTGGGCCCCCAATTCGACCTCCGACAGTCGGTTCACTTGGCTGCGGCCACCCTGGCACCTTCGCAGTAGTCCGGGGGCTTGCGCCCTTGCAACTAATCCCCGTCCGCAGCTTTCCCCGGTCGCCAGTTACCCTGGCCGCCTGCTGCCTCCGACGCGTTGCATGCGTGCACCTTGGCAGTATTGGTTTCAGCCTTCCGCCAGCCTTTTCCACTCGCCAGCCCGCCGCCGAGGTGTTGCGTGAGGCCCTGGCCCACCGCTCTAGGTTAATTCGTCTTTGCGCGCCCCGCTCTGACTGGACTCGCCGCTGGCGCGCTCGCCTGCGGCCGCTCACAAGAAAAGTAATCCCACCAGCGCCCGCGCGCTCACTTTGCTTGCCTCTTTTCTTGCTGCCTAGTCGCGGCCAGGCTAGTGTTTGGACGGCGTTCGACCTGCTACGCGAGCCCGCAAACCAAAAAAAGTAATCCCACCAGCTGGAGTCGTGGATAGTCGCCTGGCCATTTGCGTTGCCCGTTCGCCGTTCGCGCTCGGTTTCGGCGCTGTTTTTGTCCGCGCTCGCCTGCTGTAGTGTGGGCATCTGTCCTGCTCCACGAAGGCCTGGTCTTCGTGCGACTCCTCGACGCCACGCGGCTGTCCGCTTGCGGTTGCGAAAAAAAAAAAAAAAAAAAAATCCAGAAACGATGCCCAGGCGATCGGGGATGTAGAGAAGCATGCAGTGGAGTACTGGGCTGAGGAAGCCGTCGTACCCCAAAAGGGGAACAAATATGAATAACCGTGGGAAAAGGAGAGAAAAAAAAGGGAGGGGGAGGAGGAGGAGGAGGAGGAGGAGTCAGGAGGAGGGAGGAGGAGGAGAGATAGGCGGATTAGGAAGAAGAGGAGGAGGAGGAGGAGGAGGAGGAGAAGGAGGAGGAGGAGGAGGAAGAGGAGGAGGAGGACGAAGAGGAGGAGGAGGAGGAGGAGGAGGAAGGCGAGCTTAGGGGCCAGTGGCCCCTTTGATACTTCTCGGAGTCACTTCGGATATCGCTCAAGAGCCTCTTGGAGTTTTTTGGGGGGGCCTCTTGGCGGTCCCGGGGGCCTCTTGAAGCGTTTTGGGTGCCTCGGGGGAGCCTCTTGGAGCCTCTTGGGGATATATTGGGAACCTTTTGGGGACCTCTTGGAGCCTCTTGAGGCCACGTGGGCACCTCTTGGCGCTGTCTTGGGGCATCTTTGGGAGCTGTGGGGGCCACGTTGTGACCGTTCTGGAGGAGATCGATCAAAGAGAGGGATGCGTAAAGTAGCCCCCCCCCAATGAGGCCAAAGTGTGGCCAAAACCGTAGTAGTAGTACCAAAAAATGTGGGTCTTCTCGCCGAGGCCTTCAAGGAGCCAGGTGTGCACCAGGCACCCTGGAGGCCCAAGCGTGCCAGCTGTGGCACATGCGCCAACTGCGCCAACTGTGCTCCAGCCGCGCCAGGTGCGCCAGCTACGGGGAACCAATAGGGATCCCAAGTGCCTGTGGCCCTGGCCCCAAGGAGTTCAGGATCTCGAATACCCCTGAAGCGACGTGCCCGGCATTCTGTGAGAAGGGCGGCTCCTGCAGGGAGCGCACAGCACCGACACCGATTGACAAATTGTGACGCCTTGAGGAGTCGAGTGAAACAGATGAGAGCTCAGAGAAACGAGGGCCCTGCGCATGCTCCAGATTTGGAGCCAATGTGTGTTTAGCTTTGTCTTTGGCAGGGATGGCTAGCCTGCGCGCAGCAGGGCACCCCCGCCGTCCCTGTTAAAAGTGATGCAAAGTGGTCGCGGGGCGGCCGCGCATGCTCCAAACTTGGAGGCAAAGTGTATGTTGCATTGTCTTTGCAAGGGATGGTGGGAGGGGTTCGCACTGGTCCGGGTTGGCTGCCGGTCGCCTAGGGGAGGGGGTGTTCATTGATAGGGGACAGTAGTACACCCCCCCCGAAGGGGAAGAAGAGGGTTGGAAAAGGAACCCCGCTAAACCATTTACGCCCCAAAGGGCTGGTGGGATTACGTTCCCTTGCACGTCACCCTGGCGCGTCCGCTGGCATGTCCTCTGGCTCGTCCCCTGGCGCGTCCTCTGGTGCGCCTCGGTGATTACGTCCCCTTGAGCGTTCCCTGGCACGTCTCGTGGCGCGTCCCCTGGCACGTCCCCTCAGAGTCCACGGATTCCCGTCGCTTCGCGGGATGCACGTCTGGAGTGCGTATAGTGCGTGCGTTTGGGCCCACCTGGAGGCCTTTCGGAGGCCTCCGGCCTCTTGGGGGCTTGTTGGGGGCCAGTGGACGCCTCTTTCGAGCGTCGTGGGTGGCATTCCGGCGCTCTTGGGCCATCTAGTCCCTCGAGGCCGTCTTGGGAGCTCCCTGGGCCGTCTCGTCGCCCTTACGAGCCGTCCTTGGGGGGTCTCTTGGGCCGCCTTGCCCGCCTTGGGGCGTGGACCTGCCCATTCTCCTGCTCTCTGAAGGGGGCTTCTTGGGCCGTCTTGGGGCCATCCAGGCTGCGCGAGGCAGGAAGGATGAGGAGAAGGGCAGCGACGACGCCGACGACGAGAATGATGAGGCAGCGCGCAGGCTTGGCAGATCTGAATTCATGTTTTTTCCCAACCCTCCTTGGTTGGGTATTCGTTTTGAAAAAGGGACTGTGGTCTCCACCTTCCTTCCTCCCGCCTCCTGCCTGCCTCCTCCTGTCTTGCCTGCGGGGGGCTGCGATCTGTGAAACTGTCGCTACTTTCGAGGCCTGCTGGGGGGGCCCAGCACAGTGACGCCACGCGCGGACCCAAATTAGACCTCGCCATCCCTGGGGGGCTGCGATCTGTGAAACTGTCGCCACTTTCGAGGCCTGCTGGGGGGCCGAGCACAGTGACTCCACGCGCGGACCCAAATTCGACCTCGCCATCCCTGGGGGGCTGCGATCTGTGAAACTGTCGCCACTTTCGAGGCCTGCTGGGGGGCCCAGCACAGTGACGCCACGCGCGGACCCAAATTGGATCTCGCCATCCCTGGGGGGCTGCGACCTGTGAAACTGTCGCCATTTTCGAGGGCTGTTGGTGGGTCCAGCGGAGTGTGGCACTGCGCGGATCTGAGCAAGACCTCGCCGTGCCTGGGGGACTGCGATCTGCAAAATTGTCGCCACTTTCGAGGGCCTGGTAGGTCCAGCGGAGTGAGGAACCGCGCGGATCTGAGCAAGACCTCGCCGTGCTTGGGGGGCTGCGATCTGCGAAACTGTCGCCACTATCGAGGGCTGCTGGTGGGTCCAGCGGAGTGAGGCTCCGCGCGGATCTGAGCAAGACCTCGCCGTGCCTGGGGGGCTGCGATCTGCGAAATTGTCGCCACTTTTGAGGGCTGCTGGTGGGTCCAGCGGAGTGAGGCGCCGCGCGGATCTGAGCAAGACCTCGCCGTGCTTGGGGGGGCTGCGATCTGTGAAATTGTCGCCATTTTCGAGGGCTGCTGGTGGGTCCAGCGGAGTGAGGCTCCGCGCGGATCTGAGCAAGACCTCGCCGTGCTTGGGGGGCTGCGATCTGTGAAATTGTCGCCATTTTCGAGGGCTGCTGGTGGGTCCAGCGGAGTGACTCACCGCGCGGATCTGAGCAAGACCTCGCCGTGCTTGGGGGGGCTGCGATCTGCGAAATTGTCGCCACGTTCGAGGGCTGCTGGTGGGTCCAGCGGAATGAGGCCACGCGCGGATCTGAGCAAGACCTCGCTGTGCCTGGGGGGCTGCGATCTGGTCGGGAGGGCTGCTGGTGGGTCCAGCGGAGTGAATCTGAGCAAGACCTCGCCGTGCGGGGCTGCAAATTGTCGCCACTTTCGAGGGCTGCTGGTGGGTCCAGCGGAGTGAGACACCGCGCGGATCTGAGCAAGACCTCGCCGTGCCTGGGGGGCTGCGATCTGCGAAATTGTCGCCACTTTCCAGGGCTGCTGGTGGGTCCAGCGGAGTGAGGCGCCGCGCGGATCTGAGCAAGACCTCGCCGTGCCTGGGGGGGCTGCGATCTGCGAAATTGTCGCCACTTTCGAGGGCTGCTGGTGGGTCCAGCGGAGTGAGACACCGCGCGGATCTGAGCAAGACCTCGCCGTGCCTGTGGGGCTGCGATCTGCGAAATTGTCGCCACTTTCGAGGGCTGCTGGTGGGTCCAGCGGAGTGAGGCTCCGCGCGGATTTGAGCAAGACCTCGCCGTGCCTGGGGGGCTGCGATCTGCGAAATTGTCGCCACTTTCGAGGGCTGCTGGTGGGTCCAGCGGAGTGAGGCACCGCGCGGATCTGAGCAAGACCTCGCCGTACCTGGGGGGCTGCGATCTGCGAAATTGTCGCCACTTTCGAGGGCTGCTGGTGGGTCCAGCGGAGTGAGGCACCGCGCGGATCTGAGCAAGACCTCGCCGTGCTCGGGGGGGCTGCGATCTGCGAAACTGTCGCTACTTTCAAAGGCTAGTGGCGGGTCCAGCGGAGTGAGGCACCACGCAGATCTGAGCGGGACCTCGCAATCCTTGAAGAGCTGCGGGCCTCACGAATGCCGCTCGCAGAAATATATGAGCCCATGTCACGTCATCACTTCCGTATAACGTCTCCCAAGCTACTCATGCCCCGCATTGCGCAGGGGTTGGGTACGTCGCCAGGGTAATTTTGATGGGTCACTCGTGTTTGAGGGGGGAGGCATCTCGCTGCCAGGGCTCTTCTCAGCCCTTTGCGTGTTG